TGGCTCTAAATCGTTTGTAGCTGCCCAGATGCATCCATTCTTTGTATTTTCTCAAGTTCTGAATTCCCCATAATTTCGTGTTTATATTTCACTAATCTATATTTTTTCGAGTCATATTTTCAATGTCTAATCTTTCTAATCACCACTGATACTGTTACTACCTTTACTATTCTGGGATTTGGTCTGACAATTTCATACTTTTGTGCTAATTGGGTGTGGCAACCTAGACGGATGTACCTACACATTAGATTCTGCGTTGCGACTGACGGACCTGTACAAAACTATCTGTCAATTTTGTTGGGCAAAACGTTGGAATGATTTAAGTTTCAACCGTTGAGATTATTTCGAATATAATTTTCACAAACAATGTCTTCTCTATACTTAGTGCCCAATTTCTGTTAAACTATTCATTTAAATATATTTGTGCTAATGAGGTATGGCAACTTGGACCGATGCATATATGTGCCTGGTCCTACGTTGTAGCTGACTGACTGAGATTTCGTTAGACACCAGCACATTAGGACTGACCAGACTTCCTAAATAAGTGAAGTTGCAACCGGATTTGCGTAATTTGTGTCCAAACCACCTCTGGTCACTGGATATGGAGTATCTTTTATAGACAGCTGTTTATAAATACCTGTACGTTTTTGATGATGCTTGTGGTGGTTCTTTTCATTTCCATACAGTGGATCTGTCTTAATGTTTATATGGAAGATTCTGACTTTGATGTTGCCTGATAATTGATCTGGGTTCTGTATGTTCTTCAGTTATAGGAATTCTACCCTTGCCTTTGCATCCTCATCGGATCCTCATTTTTCGTCGATGGTGCTTCCTAGATATGTGAAAGTTCCCAACTCTTCCAGATCTCCATCGAGTGTGATTGAGTTGGTGTTCTCTATGTTATATTTGAGGATCTTGGTTTTTCCTTGTGTGTGTTGAGGTCCACTGATGCTACACTGACTGTTTTGACCTGCATTTGTTGATGTGTATGGAACAGGAGAGCCAGGTCATCTGTGAAGTCTAAATCGTCTGGGTGCATCCAGGCTGTTTACTATATCCCGCGCTTCCTCTGAGAAGCATAGGTCTTCATAGTCCAGACAACCACCAGAAGGAAGAGGAAGGTGGAGTGTAGACAGCCTTGTCTGACACCGGTCATTACTTGGAATGCATCTCTCAGCTGTCCTCCATGTACGACTTTGCAGTGTAGTCCATGGCATGAATTACGGATAATGTGAACGATTTTCTCAAGTACACCGTAGCGTCAAGGTTTCATAACATTCTCCTATTCATGCTTTTTCATAATCAAGGAAATTGATGTATAGTGACGAGTTCCATTTAACTGATTGTTCAAAGATGATCTGTAGTTTTGCGATTTGGTCTGTATATGATCTATCCTTATGGAATCCATCCCGTTGATCTCGATGTTGGGCGTCTACTGTGTCTTTTATCCGGTTCAGCAACACTGTTGAAGACTTTCCTTGGTACTGACAGTAGTGTGATGCCTCTGTAGTTTTCACATTTGCTCAGATCACTTTTCTTTGGGATCTTGATGAAGTGTCCTTCTTTCCAGCTCGTCGCCACTTGTTTCTCCTCCCAAATCTTCTTGAATAGAAGGTGAAGCATGTTTGTAGTTACTTCAGTGTCTGACTTCGGTGTTTCAGCTGGTATATTGTCGAGTCCTGCTTCTTTCCCGCTCTTGATTTGTCTGATTGCCATCCTGATTTCCTCGGTCGTTTGTGGAGTGACATCTTTTTGGAAGTCTGTGGTTGCTGCTTCAATGTCCGTTGGATTAACTGGAGCTGGTATATTCAAGAGTTTCTCAAAGCACTCTACCCATCTGCTCCTCTGTTCTTGAATTTCAGCGATTGGCCTACCTTCTTTGTCCTTGACCGATCTCTCTGGTTTACTATATTCCCCTGCTAGTTTCTTCGTTCTATCATATAGCTGTCTCATATTTCCTTCTCTTGCAGCTCTTTCCGTCATCGTTGCTAGTTTTTCCACGTATTTCTGATTGTCGGATTTAATGCTCTTCTCCACTTGTTCGTTTGCTTCTGTGTATTCAGCTTGTGGCTTGATTTTCTGTGTTGTTATTTGGCTGTTGCTAATTGCTGTCTTCTTGTTCTTCCTTGCTTGAATCTTGTCCAGTGTCTCCACAGAGATCCATTCCTTATGATAGTGCTTGTTGCGGCCAGGAATCTCCTGACATGTTGAAGTTAATGCTTCTATGATACCTTTGCAGTTGTCCTCCATAGTAGTTTCCTCTTCCTTCAGTAGGTCTTGTAAGGCTTGGAACCTGTTGTTGAGAATTATTTTGAATTCATTGAGTTTGTTAGTATCCCGTAGAAAGGCTTTATTGAACCTTTGTAGTGCTGTTCCCCCAGTTGTCCAGTGTTTCTTTAGCTTCAGTTTCATCATGGCCACAATCGGGTGATGATCTGAAGCTATGTCAGCTCCTCTCCTGGTTTTCACGTTTTTCATTGTGAATTTTGTACTGATGCAAATATGATCTATGTGGTTTTCTGTGGTGTGGTCCAGTGAGATCCATGTAGCTTTGTGTATACGTTTGTGTGAGAATATTGTGCCGCCTATGACCACTTTGTTGAATGCACACAGATTTGCAAATCTGTCACCATTCTCGTTTCTCTCTCTCAGCCCATGTCGTCCCATGTTATCTCCATATTCGGTGTTGTCTATTCCGACTTTGGCGTTTAGATCTCCTATCAGAATGGTGAGGTCCTTTATTGGGCACTTCGCCATGATTGATTGCAGCCTCTCATAGAATTGATCTTTATTGTCATCGTTGCTATCATTGGTGTGTGCATATCATTGGATAACATTCATTGTGCTTACCTCCTTCTTTGTCTTGAATGATGCTTTGATGATTCTGGATCCATGAGATTCCCATCCTACAGGTGCATTTCGTGCTTCTTTTGACAGCAACACCTCTCACGTACCTAACGTTTGCTTCAGGCGGAGTAAAAATATTGATCTACATCTAATATAGTTACCTAATAGTTATCTAATCGGAATATATGTAATAATAATTCATAAGTAATTCCTGTCAGCGACCATTCATTTATTCTTCGATACGGTGTAGTCGGAGTGGCGAGACTATAATTTATGGATGAACCAATCAGATTTACGATAACAGGTCTTGAATTTTGGCGCGAAATCAATTCATTCATTTGGCTAAATAGCGTTTTGTCATTATAGCTGATATCAGTTCGTGATGAAAATCCTATATCTGATTCCTAACCCTAACTATCAACTGTAAATATTAATCTTAATTCCTCACACTGTTTTTGTTGGGGACTATAGATCCCCAAACTCATATTTTTAAATTTTATCTTATCGATCATTTGTATTGGGGTCAATTGATGAACTGATCGATTAAATGTTTGTATAGCAGTCAGTTGATGAACCTATCAATTAGATGTGCAAATAGGTCAACTTATGAACTCATTGATTAGTGTTTACAATTTTTCTGTGACAATATCGATTGTAAATATTGTATAAATACGCGTGAGTTGTGTTTGACTTAACTTGTTATCTGCCGTGTGTCTGCAGGATACACTTCTACACCTTACCCAGACTTCTTGATCGAGTTAGCAGAGTTGGGGGACAACGAACCAGAATAGCTATCGAGTCGCTGAGTCACTGATCCTTCGTTCATTGAGTAAGACGCATCAGTAATAGCATTCAAGCGAATAACAAATCATAACAGTTTTATAACCGTCATTTATCTGTAGTATATAGGCTGACATTCCCAAGGTCTCTTTAGCGTCGTTCGAAGGTCGTCCATAAATTATAGTCTCACTGGCGAACTTTTCGAATCTCTATAGTCCTAATTATGTATTTGTGGTTGATAATTCTGAATCTCCTCTGGACACTGAAGAAAATATGGTAAATGACTGAATTATTTAGTCCAGCTTATTACGTAGCTATTATAGGCCAATTTTAATAAAGTAGATTTGTGTATTAACTCCATTCGACCCTTTCCAACTGAATGCTTACCAATATACTAGATAAATTACCCGTCAGGAAATTTCGTTGAAACCTCTCCACAAGAGTGATTGAATTTGTAAATACACATTGAGGTGGCGAAATCAGTCAGTCAGCTACAACGTATGAGCCAGGCGCATATGTGCATCGGTCCAGGTTGCCATACCTCATTAGTACAGCAAGATGAACACCGGATTCATAGGAGTGGTTAGGTCAAAGGTGTTAATATATAGGAGAAAGATTGCAATAAGGATATAGTATAGGAAGAAAGAATTAGTTAGTAGAGAAAAAGATATGAAGTGATTTCAATCTCTTAGTTTAAGGGAAAACAGGGAGTGTGGCGAAATCAGGTCATTTATCATGTGAACAACTTTTGTTGATTGACAAAAAATTCTTGGATAACAGATCTTTTATACAACTCAAGTAATTTAATTTTCAGAGGCTATACCTTCATTAATTGTTTTTGTGATATTAGGAATAACATGCAATTTCATTCTTAAACAGTAAATCAATTTGAACTACCAACTCATTTAAACGGCTATAGCCTTTTTATGTTTACAAATCGTATAAGACTTATACGTGTCGCTGGGGTTCTAAACACTGAAGTTCGGTACTTAGAAAATCCTAAACTTCTATTTGTATTGTTTGTCGATTAACAGGTAATATGTGATCAGTATTTATCGAATTCATACAACAATGTATTAGGAAATATCGTTAAAAATTAAGTCATTCAAGTAATTTGCAACAGTTATTTTACAGTCTATTTTACTTATTACGTTTATACAACGTATGAGATGTTCAAATCCATGTTGTCATTATTGTATTATCTCTTCTTAAAACTTAAAATAATATTTCAATGAAATTTCAATCTTCATTCTGTTTTTAGAGTTCTCTGTCAAAAGTAACACAAATAACACTCTCCATAAATCCGTAATGCAAGGAACTGTTTTCAATTGATCTGTGAAATAATACTGGTTTATTTTGTGGAGTTAACAATTATGTTATCGCATAATTCGAATCACGAAAAAACACCTGTATGTGAAAATTTTCCTAGCAATACAACCGATGGCTTCATCAAACCTTCTTTACCTCCGTTTATTTCAAACATTTTAGACCAGTTAACCGATGGAGAACTTAAACGTCGTTTAGAATCTGTCTTGTTAGACAGAGAATCGGAACTATTAGAATCTCAGTCAGCCTGTAAAGATGCACAGAATGAGGCCGTAGACTCACGGAAACAGTTAGTCAAACTTGAACTTGAATTGGCAAATATTAAAAGCGCCGCAGAAATGTTAATGACTGAACATGAGGATGCCTTATTAACCTTGAAAAGACAGTACGATGAAGAGTTGTCCTCGCTGCTGATAGCTTCTGAACAGGTGAATTTTCGGTTAGAGAATTGTGCGTGACTCTGTTCTAATTTGTCAGTATGGAATCATCTGTTAACATTGTTTACTTATATACATCCTGTAGTAGACTTCTTGTGATATGCATTAATTTTATTTCATCCAATCAACACGAGTAGTGTGATTTGATTAAAAAACCCATTTATTAAAATCATACATAGAGTTCGCCTTTTAATCTTGAAGAGAGCAAGAATAAAGATTTGAGCCGAATAACATGAATTCGTTTTATTTAATGGGCTACAAACTATAATATTTAAAATCAACATTAACATAGTTTACACACTGATAATAATGAACCGGCATGGTGAAGTTACGGTTAGAATAAAGGTAATAAGATTAGGAAAATATGCAGTGCTGCAAATAAATACAGTAATTTAGAGAAGATTCTAGAACACAGAAATAATTACACAATCAAGTAATTTATACCTTTATTTGAATCCTCATTCCATCATAATGATACATATCCACACCTAACCAATTTCACTGTACTAAGTATGTCAACTTTCACGATAATTCTAAGATATCATAGGTTGTAAGCAGCTGACTAAACAAAATAAATTCATATTGTTTTGCCCAAATCTTTATTCTTGTTCTCTTCATTGTATAATACATCGGTCTATTAAATGGTTTTGAACTGTTAGTTTTTGAACAACCGATATTTTGTGATCTGAAGCAAATGTATTGATGAAGTGCAAGAAGAGTAATTGTTTTCAGGCAAAAGTTATGGGAAACTATGTGTTCAATCACTTATCAAAATGGTTGTTATATACACTCTCAGAAACAGCCTATGAAATGTATGTAATATTTATAACCATCTGGATACAATTTCGCTACTTTCTGGTTCATCGTACTATGCAGTTCGTGCAAAAAACATAACAAACTTACTATTGAGGCGCAGGCCAGGCATTGAATAATCTTTTCCCCCCTTCAACCAAATGCTTGAACATTCGTACATATTTTAGGCCAATAATCATTGTACTTTATGATATCAATGTGACACCTAATTCCTTGGATGGGATTTTACTCTGAGATTATCTGTTGAATAGTGTTTTGTTTGAGTTTATTTAAATGTTCATCACTCGTTTCACAAGGATGAGAGTATACAACCACCTTTCCCCATTGTTTAAGTAGACACTGAAATTACATAAGGTTACTTAGTTTTAGACTCCGTCTTGAATTTTCCCGTCAACAGAATTCTAGAGACAGCTTTGGGGGAATTATGTGGTAGTAGTGGTGTAGAGAGAAACTTGTTTGGTTATAAAGTTTCAGGCGAACAGTTCTACTATACGGTAATTCCAACTATATGATGGTCAGATGAATTCTATCCTTGATGAACCTATCCAGTTATCGTTGTCCCTGAAAGTTTACTTTCACTGTGTAAGTCATCGTGAGACCTAGCAACATGTGTTTAGTCACATTAAAAGGAATCATCCTAATGTTTTTATGACCCTAGAACTCTGTCCTCGGTAGCTTTATCACATCTCACGTACGTCCTCCCAGTGACTCCCAAACTAAGGATTATTTCCAATTGCTAAAAATTGTTGGAAAAATTACACTTTAGAATATAGAGCGATATAATTAAAGGATACTTATGTTACATTGTCATCTGTTAACATACGATGACTTCGGATACCTTCATAGACTAATGTCATGTCTTAACTCATCCATGCTTAGTCCTTTTACAAACTATTCTTGGCCCATCAAGTGTATAGTGATAATGGTAATGTATGTAGGCGTTATTTTTAATGCAGCCACCCCAATGTTTCAACCATATTTAATCAATTTTACAAAGCCGTCAGTAACCGAATACCTACTAGTTAAGCATGCCTTTAAACTTTATTGGCTGTCTCATATCTATTCTGAGGACTGTCACTCAGTGTAGTGGTCCTTTCATAATCGGTCAAATATCTCTCAGCCACTATAGTTGGAGTTTTTTTAACGCAACTCATAATAGTTTAACTATCATCTAAAGTAATATTGGTGTGTTCATAACGGAAACTATAGTTAGATCATTTTATGGATCAAGTGCTTAAAACTTCAATATACACTGGTCCAAAGTGATTTCTTTTCAAAATCAATTAATTGTGTTTTAATAAATTTTACTATCGATACTAATAAATTGAGTGAATTGAATCAAAATAAACTGAAAACTGGTATTTAAACTACACAGATTTTTAAATGCATTACAATTTGAATTATTTGTTATTTAATTAAATGTTGTAACTCAATGATTAAGCTATACTTCAAGACTTTTGATTATTATATCATAAACTAGAATGATACTCTTTGATTAAAATTTGACACTGGATGAGATAATTCAATTTCCAGAAATACTTTATTTCTCTAGTATCTTCTAAAGTATGGCTTATCAGATGTTGCAAGACACAATAAGCATGTGATTTGTTTTACTCTCCTTTCTTTCATAGTACTTTCATTGATTATTAATAATTTATTGGTTTTATTTTATGTGCATGTACACTGACATTATTGTAAACCTTGACCAGTAAGCATGATAAATATTTTCTGTGATTTTTATATTACAAATGTTTTCTTTTTATTAGTTAGTGTGTATTAGGATTCTGTTGGATATTACCCCATCCAGATTTAACTTGAACGATTCTCTGTAGTTATAGATATATGAATAGGAATGATTCATTTTTTAGCCTGTACGGGCTGGTACTATGTAAATCACATATAGGTTATTCTAGTCTCTGGACATATCAATCTATTCATTCTTCTCAAACCATATTTTTACCCTGTCACTTATTGTCTTATTAACCCTTACTGTTTTTTTATATGAACGTATGTGTGTGCAGTTCTTATCTTACTCATCACATATCTGTAACTTATTTTGTCTGACTATAAATATCGAGTCACACATGATTAAGACGAGCTCACTTACATGCCTTCTTCACCGTGCGTCATTTCGCTTTTCTCTTTGCTTCTTTCGCTCCATCTCTCTGACTGTCTGTTCTGATCAACCATTGTACAAAATATACGTATTCAAAACTTCATTCTCGTATTTGGCTTATTTAATTTCGTTATTCATTAACGTAATTTAAGTCGATGGTTATATACGAGGATTGGCGACATGTATATTTCGGTAACAAGCAGCAAACAACCTACCTGGAATCAGATGTAGGTCCATTAAAAGCCATTATCAGTAACTCTGGAAATTCTAGTGTCCCATTTGCTCAATTTTGTCTTGTTAACATAAATGTGAATAGTTAAGTGAAGTACTTTAAGCATTTACACCATACACTGTTTTGTCTCAGATGTTGAATGAACCTAAACTCGATAGTTTAACCCAACCATATCATTTTTAACTCATCATAAATCTAATTTTCTTCACTATGTTTCATTTATCATAGGGTTATTTACATCAGTTTATAGATGGTCAATGTTCAAACGATACATCACATTCATCACCAACTGAAAATGAGAATTGTCCAACCTCCAAATCATCACTTCTTATCACTGAAAAAAAGTCAGCTCAAAGTTTAGCTAATCAAGCCTTGGATAAAGTAGAGAAATTAGTTCGACGTGTTGGTCATAAAGCACTAACAAATAATTTTATTTTAAACAAATCCACTGTTTCATCTTTTTGGGCAAATCATGACATTGGTTCAAACAAAGAGGAGGATAATGATGATGACTATATACGAGCAATAATTGAACCTTACGAAACAGAAATTACACGTCTACAACAAATTTTGATCAATGCTTCGATTCCATTCACTAAGACAACATTACATCCTAGTATGTGTTTAGTAATTCATTCATTATGTTTATTGTCCTAAATTTTTATGATTATATAAGTAATTGACTTTTGTAGGCTTTGTGACAAGTAGATTCAATTTAAAACAGGTATACAGTGTTACTGATAGTTATGACTGAACAATGAACTTGTCTTTAACCTTTTTTTACTGAAAGATTATTTGAAAAGGTAAGGAGTTAATTATTGACCACCATAATAGTACAACCTCAATTATTATAGGAAGACGCATTGTATAAAGACTATTGACACTAAAATAAACTAATTCTAAACTTACCTAGTAGTTTTATTATCTCTATTGTAAAAGCGTTAACATGAATTTTCATAATAATAATAATAATAATAATAATAATAATAATAATAATAATAATAATAATAATAATAATAAACTGACATATTATAACAGACACGTTGCCCCAATGTCATCAACTTGTGATATGAGATACCTAGTGGAAAATTAATTCGTTAATAACTACATCTGACTACAGTAGCTAACATTTGATACTAAACATTCTGTTTCGACAGAGCGTCCTTTGTTTGGACAATAGAAAAGATGATAACTTTTAACTACGTGATGTTATAGATCAGGGGCGAAATGAATTCAGAAATGCGGTATATAAATTATGTCATTCATTCAAACTTGACTGTATTTATATTGAAAATCTTTATTGTGTATTATTAGTTGTTAAGTTTTGCATTTTTCCATTGTTAATATTCTAGTATAAATTTATCTGTTTGTGTTACCACAGGCGCTTGTTTTTAAGTGAATGCTTCCATGTCTCTTGCATTGACAACATCATTTTCGCTTGTTTCCTTTACCTCTCTGCATTAATGATTTCTTACTTTTAAAGACTGAATTTTCGCTTACTGATATGGTAAATTAATTATTTTGATAATGCTCCGTTTATTGTGCTGTAGTTAAATGATTTTGTGTTTCTTTATCCTATTATATACGTATTCGAAACTGTATAGTAATCTGTTATGTTTTATTATTGCAGTCAATTAGCGTATTAACAAACTGTCAAAGAAACATACAATTGGCTATTCTTTTCTCAGTAGAGTGTTGATTGAATGTAAATATTCATCGTTGAAATTCTCAAAATTCTGATAATCCAACCAGTTTGATTCTGCACTATATTAGTCAGTAAAATAATTCAACTCATTTGGTAAGTGCAGATCTATGTACTCACCATCGAGTCACTAAGTTTCTCCAAAATTTAGTAATATTACTCAATTTACCAAACTAAAATAAACGGAGCAGCCGTGTTCGAATCTGCGTTTTAATGGTTGGATGGTTAGTACTGTGATCCACTTTAATCCACCACTTCATTCAGTCATACGTTTAAGTTTATTCTCTGGGTTTGAAATGTAATTTCATATTTTAACCTGTAATTTAATTAGTAAAATTTTTTTATACCATTCTTGGGAATTTTAAAACCTACATAACAAACTTATCGTGATTAGCCAAACAATGAAAGCGGAAAAGGAGGCACTGAATAGCTGTTTTTTCTATTATGAGACTTTTCAACAGTGCACATCCACCATCTCTTAGGGATTGAACCTAGGACTTTCAGGCTTCCCAGCGAGTTTTTAACTTTAAGATCACCGAGTTGCGAGCCAATCGTTTACATTTCTAACGTTAATCAGTTCGTATTATTGCGCAACTGTTTTACACTCTAATTCATGAATAGCTGCTTCATTTCTGATACGATTGCAGCCCACTAGTCAAGACGTCTGACTAGAATCCTAAAAATTACCTTTCGGAGTTAGTCGCTAGGGTGCACATAATTATTGTTAGTATAGGAATTCATAATACGCTGCTAATATTCTTAGTAAAGCCAATAAAATTCTCACCAATATTCTTAATTTTAGAAAAACTGCACGTAAACATTTGTTTTTAAAAACGAATCATGTAACGTAACGTATGGAATGCATTTTTTTAAACAAGTTACTATATTCTAGTGGGAGTTTACAGTGTTTTTTTCGTTTATGTGTTGTTATATTCTAATATTATTCGCTTAACGATTGTTAATTTTTCATTATACGTGAGTTTAATATTTATTATTTGTGCAGAATAATAGTAAATATTTTCGGTATCAGTTGCGCGCGATTTATTAGAAGAAACTTTAACGTAATTTTATTTCCTTATTATTATTATTATTATTATTATTATTATTATTATTATTATTATTATTTGAACATATAAATATTAGTACAAAGAGGCACCAAATACACATGCGCCACACTTCGTCATCCTATTTGTGTGAAGGCTAGAATACTTTCCGGGTGCCCAAACCGAACAAGGTGGTTTCCTCAGGGAGCCACATCCGGAACCTTTAACCTAGAGGTCTAATCCATAAGGCAGTGAAGCAACGTTAGGAGATCCAGTCCTATGGTAGCCGGTGACCAACAATAGGTTCATACGCTATTTGGTCTCTTAGCATCCTAAAGCCCATATTTACCATTAGTTTGGAATCAAGGTTTTTCAACTGTCCTAGGTGGGTCCTCTACATCCACCAACCCGATTAAGGCGCCGGATATTCGCTTTTCGTCCTCTCAATTTCGTAAACAACACCCCCGCCGCGAAAAGGCAGTGAGTAGGAATTCCCTGGTAGTGGCTATATATGCGTGGCCATGTGAGAGCACTAAGAGTAGTAGAGCTGACTCTTCCCACCATCGACCGAACCAGGCCATTTGGGTTTTTTTATATTTTCTATTCAATTGGTAAATTTGTGTAATTGTCTATCAATCTGTGTACAATATATTTGACAAATGGTGCTATCGAATTATATTTTATTCAAGTTACTTTGCTAGAAAATGTATTGGTATATGAAGTTAGTTTTAAAACCTAATTATTCTATTTGGAACGTTTGGTCAAACCAAACTATAATTGGCTAGTAAGTGTGGTAGACAGATATACTCTTTTGTACTACAGAAATATATTGTAGACTATTCTATATTAATTATTTTTCCATCGGTTCCTACTCTATATATTGTCCATATACGTTGTTATTATTGATATCTGGTTCTTGAATAAACAATTAAAAGTTTCTGAGTTCATGTGGATTTATTAAACGCCGCGTTATAACATCATGACATCATGACTTATTTCTCAGTATATGATAAATACAATTATATTTTCAGAATGGGGATTTCTGGAGATCTTAGTAATTTTAACAGTTGAATTCACGAGTCGATCTAAGCTAAACCACCATTGAAAATCTGGAAACACTGGAATGCCGCTTCATCTAAGTATAGGACTCCTAATCAATGCGCACCCTCGATCCCGCACATTGGACTCGAACCCAAGATGTTCGGTTTCGCACGCGAACGCTTAGCCTCTAGACCACTGAGCCGGCATCCGATGGTGTTAATATTTAACTACAATCGATCAGTGGTCTTACACAACTCTTCAGTCATTTTCTGAGATGGATAACTGTCTCGTCCGACAAGTGCTTTGAGGTTTTCGATGGTGGTGTAGCTTAGATCAACTTGCAAATTCAACTGTGAAAATGTTATAAAATTCGCTAAGCAAAACATTTTAAACTGGAATATTACAGTATTGTAGAAATTAAAGTAATTCAACATTCATTGTGTATTAAATTTTTGCTATCATTCTACTAGTCAGTTTGTAATTTTTATTCATCTTCAATTTAGTAGTATATCGATTAAAACAAAATAATCTTGTAACTTATTTGATTATAGTACTTGTTTCCCAAGTGTAGATTTGTCTAATTGTCTAAATATTGTGGTAGGAGCAGTCTTGTTATTCGACTGGCTAGATAAGAATAGGTGGTGTAGCTGGATTTAAATCTGAAATATTAGTCGTTGATAATCGATAGCGCTTCAGATACCAAAGCTGTAGGATTCTCGATCGATAAATAATACTCTTATATATTCCTTTTGTTGTCTGAGTTTCATAAAAAAAACTTGCAATTTTTTTTGGTTTCGTAGCTATAAACTTTTATGTTAATATTTTATATCAAATGAAGTTACTTATTAGTTAGCGAACAGTACTGTCATCAGGCTTTCCATCTTATTCACTTTAATATTTGACTACGATCTGCCTTTGTTTTGGTTTACTAGTTTGCTGTTTTTTTATGATTTTTTTTCTCAGTTTCAAGCCAAAAATACATTGTTCACTTATTCTGACATAGATTTATTCATCATCAACCTGTTAAATGTTTTTTGTTTTATAAAACGATCGTGAAATGTCTAGTCAGTCATCATCAATATAAGACCTGGTGTATAGACGTCCATCAGTCCGTATTATCATTTCGCATCAACAAAGCAAGGTAAATAAATACCGAAGTAATTGAAATAATCAATGATGCTACAATGAATTTAAATGTGAAGGAGTTCAAGAAAAAAAATAGGGATGAATTTTCGGGAGGAAGCTATGTAATTGTATTGAAATTCAGAGTCTCGGGATCCATCTGTTTGCCACTACAACAGATTGTGTGAGTCACGTTACCTGGAAATGTAACCAAATGTAGTTTGATTCGACGAAACCCTTTTTTGTCAAATCTCTTTAGGTCACTTCAATCTTTATTGTTTACATCCTCCTTTCTTCTCTTTGTTTATTAGTTCGTTTTTTCCAAAGTAAATAAAAGCAAACTGTTCAGGTGTAATCATGCATAAATCTGTATGTCATGATGACTTAATCAATTCTGGTCAAAATTAATATTTTTAGTTGATTAATTAATCGATTATTTGCTGACGTCAGTTGGTTATCTGTTATATTAACTGGAGTAGTGGACAATTAATTAAAAATAAATATAAATAACGTAAAAACAATTGTTTTTCTCTTCGTCATTACAAAAATCGTATGGCATGATTGTTGCTGGTGGTGGTGGTGGTGTGATATCTTCATATTCTGTTTTTTTATGTTTATTAGTGTTTGCTTGTCTGATTGTTCTTCTGTCCTGTTTGTTTGTTATTTTAATATTCAATTCTTAAATTATTGGCGTTTTCGAGGTGAATTAAATTGTACTAATTTTGCTGTATCAGTTATATTTCTTTTTTGTTAACGAAGGTACATATGGTCTTGACATCAATCAATATTTTAATTGATCATATTTGAATGAATTTAAACGTTACTGTGTGCATTTTATATTCCTTTATTTTTAGCAGGAAGATTGTAGACAAGGTTGTAACTCGTTTTGATAGAGAATAATCTAGTTTTTTTTATTTGAAGGTATCTGTTATTTAGCCACTACCAAATGTTGGATATCATTATTAGTTCAATGAGTAAATGATATTATGTTGTAAGACTAAGAAAAATAAGAAGCTTAAGTTCAGTCTCACATAGGTAAGGTCACTAGTTCAAACTCGTGATTTGTACATATCTAGCATAAAACAATGCTTGCTGTGTGATTTTCAAAGATTCACCAATATTATGTCAGTTTATAATGTAAATACCCTTCATATCATACACCATTTATTCGTATCATGAAAATGATAATTTTTTTAGATTCAGCAACAAGTTATAAGTTATCAGAGGAGAAAATTGTCAACAAAATTTCTCATAATTCAAATATGAAGATAGAAATTTCTGGAAACAATATTGACGATAACAATAATAATAATATGGTTGATCCTGCTAGTAATCCGAGTAATTCGATTCAGAGATCATGTGACCAAATGACAGAAAAGCATTCTATGCACAAATCACCTGATAATTGTAATGATCATATCAATTCGGATGATGACAGAAATACTCAATCGACTGTTGTCACACAACCAATGTGTGATCATTCTACATCTTTTGAAGGGCAAATCTACCTAACCGATACAATGGTTTGTTTATTTATTTACTTTTCCGTGTTTATTGTTATCTATATTTGTATCATTATATATGTTATCCTAAGTGTTTTCGCTATTGGTCCAAGGGTTGGAACCTAACAATCCACATTTCTATCTCTCATCAGTTCAGAACATTGTGCAATGATCAACTAATGGCATCTGTATGAATAGACTACTTTATTCTTGATACTGTTAAATCCTAATACCTTATTAAAATTCGTCACTAATGAGCATATAGTTTTTATTGCCATATGATGTCATTATGGATATAGTTGTGAATAGACATTTAAAATCTTGCAAGTAACGGCCAGGCGCTAGTTTGCCAGGTAAATTCATATTTTTTCCTTTATATAACTTTTGACAAACAACCTAGTTATATTTAAATTTATGCACTCAGAAATGCAAAAGCTCCACAATACCGTGTCTTGCACATATATAATCTGACGAACAGATCGTGAGGGCTGACCTAGTAGAAAATGTATGGTCTTAAACATTCGGCGTATTCATCGTTGCAAAGATTAATATTTTCTGATATATCCACTTAATCCACTTAATATTTTTAGTTGATTAATTAATCGATTATTTGCTGACGTCAGTTGGTTATCCGTTATATTAACTGGAGTAGTGGACAATTAATTAAAAATAAATATAAATAACGTAAAAACAATTGTTTTTCTCTTCGTCATATATATATATATATATATATATATATATATATATATATATATATATATATATATATATATATATGCGACGAATATGATGGGTGATTATTTGTAACATTGGTTCATGAGAACTTCATATTGTACTAAAAATATAGTATTGAATATAGCCGATATTATTATTATTACTACCTATATCCATAATGTAAAAATAAAAGTTGTATTATTTGGGATTTGTTAAAGCACGATTCCTAATCCTGTCGAATCAGACTGTGAGAAAGCATGATCGAAGCAAATATAACGATATCTGTATTATTGTCTGTTTTTAAAACAACAATTTATAATTTGTGTGAGCGATTTTAAGGTCGAAACCTGAACGCCTTGACCATTGGACCGCTACCACAACACTGTATGCACATAGCATGTGGTCTTTGTTGAATACTCAAAGCAGTTTCAAAAATGTCGTTCAATGTATATTTTTCCCGCGAAATCATATAAAAATGACCAAGGGTTTTCGAAGTAAATTTAAACTCTTACCGTTCAGTATTCCCTAAAAATACAACAATTTTGGTTATGTATAATATCAGATTTTGTTTATTGTCTTTTTATCAATGAACACTGTATTTAGAAAAATTTACAAAAACAGCTTTCCACCGTTAAAAATGAATTAGATTTGAAAAGCCACGCTTTGAAAGTTGCTACTGATCGTCAATTAAAATTGGAAAATGCCCTTAAAACTCAAGTTGCTGAACAAACATCTAAAATAGAAAAAATTAGTACAATTTCTAATCAGTTGGGTCAACGATTAGATGGTTTGCTGTTAGACTACCAAGTTAGTTTTCTATTTATTTGTTTTATTTAAAGGACTAATATTTGAACGAAAAATATTCTTTCCGATAAATTCTCATCAGGTTCTACAATTACATATCCAAATTAATAATCCGAAAAATGGCCAATTTAAGGGTAAAGAGTATTTTTCTTTCAAATATTACTCTTTTAATATGATGGGGATCTTTAAGCGATTAAATGATTTCATTTAGTTATTTGAAAAGAATTCTTTTCCAATAACACGTATTTTTATAGTTATTGGTAAATTTTTAGTTTATTCTATTTCGCAGCAGAATCATCTAACATTTCTTACTGTTGTGGTTAATGTACAACTCATTACTCATCTGTCCCTATAAATTATCTGACAAGTTGCTTTATCATTATTTAAATAGTCGAGAATTTCTTTATCCAGTCTCGTATATAGATAGGAGTATGAACCACTAGGAATAAGACAGTTGTGTTGTTATCCATGATTCATAATCATTTCTTAGTGTTGGAGCGCAACAATTTATTTACTTTCTTTTTATGAAGCAGTTTTTAACGTAATAAACATCAACCTAATGACCCCTAGAGTTTCTGTATGTATTATTGTTTGTGGTGTCTATTCCTCATTGTAATAAGTTTTCTGCAAGACCCAGTTGACTACGTTTAAAGGGATAAAAAGTAAAATAACCATCATTTTCTACAGTTGAATATGAATGTATACTCGTAGCATAGTTAATTCCGTCTTTGTACATTTGGCTTGTTGCTAGTAGTGGGATGTAGTATTCGAGTTTCGTCCTACTTGGGACTTGTCAGGTGGATGTACCTGGGTCCTAGTGTTGATTTTGACGCTGAGACTCGAACCCAGTATTTCTCGCTTTAAACCCTAACTTTTTATCCAACAACCTACTGATTCTATGTAAAGATTAATATCTAAAGATTTGTAATTACTCTATGTTGATTTTCAGAACTGTAATTAATCTCCTTATTCACATATCCTCGGGTGGATCACTTCGATATAGTCCTTTGTCATAAGTCTTAATATATTTGCGTCGAGATGATACACTCCAAATATGCATTTAATGATAGACATCAATCAATTGCAGTCATAAATGTTAGCAATAAAAGGGAATTAAAAACTCTTCTTTATAGTTACTCCTGTTTATTTATTGTATTTCCTTTCATTTCTTTTTTTCTTGGTTATTACTCATTGTACATATTTGATTATTTTGATTACTTTTTTCAAGTCTTATCGTGAAACAACTGAAAAAGAAATATCCACTTTATTAGTTGAGCGTAAAATTGCTAATTCAAATCTAGAAATTCTTCGTTCACATTATGATGCTCTGGTTGGTAGACGTTCACAAGCTGCTATTGAATTAAGTAGACAACCAATTCAATTACCAAATGAAAAAGATGAATTAGAACATTTGGCGTTAAAATTATATGAAGAAAACTTATCATTTCGGTAAGTGTGACTTTTTTCTGTTAATCTTTTTGGTGAAATTTTTCCTTGACTACAAAATTTATTTTCATAGCCCTATGTCAAGTGTTTGTTTACGTTCTTTGTCCTTATCTTTCTCCTACCAGCTCGTTTTTTGTGTGCATTGTCTTATACTACTTATCAACATTCAGTAAATAGTTTTATTCTTAGCAATTTCTACGCGTATGAGGTAACACAGGTTTGTTATGTTCTAAAATATTTACGTATACATACAGTATTTATCATCAGAATTAGTTTCCCTCAACACTTTTAGCGGTTGTTCTCAGTTTTGTATGGTCTTCGGATTTTTGTCGAAATGCGACGGTTTCCTTATTTGTTTGATTGTGGTTCCTTTTTTGCTTGTTGACAAATTGTTATCTAGATCAGACACAGCTATCAGTTTGCGTTATGGATTTTTACCTTATGAAAAATTATTTACGCAGTCCGTTCTTTAATCTTGAATCCGAACATCGTTTAAGCTACTTTGAAAAGTTAATGAGCCATGTCAAAATGTTATATAAATTTTATTTGTTTTCTGTTGTTTTTTCTCAGGAAAAGCTAATTAAGCGAGACTATAATTTGTGGACGAACCAATCAGATTTACGATAACAGGTCTTGAATTTTGGCGCGAAATCAATTCATTCATTTGGCTAAATAGAGTTTTGTCATTATAGCTGATATCAGTTCGTGATGAAAATCCTATATCTGATTCCTAACCCTAACTATCAACTGTAAATATTAATCTTAATTCCTCACACTGTTTTATAACCGTCATTTATCTGTAGTATATAGGCTGACATTCCCAAGGTCTCTTTAGCGTCGTTCGAAGGTCGTCCATAAATTATAGTCTCACCGCGAATAACTTTCTCGGGATCACTTTTGTAATTGCTTAAGTTTGTTCTTATTCTTCAATTTCGCTACATCTAATTATTCTAAGTGTTCTCGTAACTAATTTTTGGTAAGTTTTAATTTACTTCTAACTACGTACAAGCTGACCGTCACAAGATATTGAGTTTTTACGAGCTCGTATTTGTTAATCTAATTAGTTCGTCAGTTTAGTGTAATCCAATAAACATGGACATTGTTCTCAAGATGATAATGTACATTTGTACATTATTGAGCTTAGTAGTTGAAGTAGTTAATCTTCAACGTCACTCCACCTGGATAGCATAATTAGCCGTCAGATACGTAAAATATGACTTGAAGCGGTGCATGCAAACCTAAATATTATAAGAAAAGATGGATAGTGGCTAGCAGTGGAATCCAGGACGCGCGTTTCGTCCTGTTTAAGATTCGTCAGCTGGATGTACCTGCATCTCAGAGTTGATGTTCACTCTATTATGGCCCCGTCGCCAGTTGTTATGACCTTGAATCGCTTCTACCCTGTCTATACTTTATCATGAATTGACCTTGATCTGTCTAGTCTAGATTATGACCTTGACGCGATAGGTTGAACGGCTTAACCTTGAGTCTAGTACGCGTGGGTTCGAGATGGGGTAGAAAGAACTATTCTAGTACCTGATTGGTTGGCAAGCACGCAAGTGAGAGAAGACAAGACAGTTGGAACACTGAACTCCGGATTCTCTGAATTCGGATTAGTGCAAAAATGTACATGAATAAATAAGTGAATATCCTGACCACAACGTACGATAATTTGGAAAAATACAATTATGCCCGAAACTTGGAATTAGGGTAGAAAATAAGATGCAAAATATGTTTAAATTACAATATTTTCGGAACAAAAAAGGGTACGGTAGTGAATGATACATAGAACGAAAGCTCATGTTATGTAGAATAAGATAGGGACAAAAATAAATATAAGTGTTTTACAAGGTTTGAATGAAATGAAATAACGTCCCAAGAAAATAGCTTTCGTAGTTGTCTGGGCTTCTTATTTCCCCGTTCACAACAACTCTGAGACTCGAACTCAGGACTCAGTAGCTAAGTGGATAACGCGATGGCGTTTGAAGCGAACGGTACTGAGTTCGAGCCTCAGAGTGAACATCAACTCTGAGATGCAGGTACATCCAGTTGACGAGTCCCAAACAGGACGAAACGCGCGTCCTGGATTCCGCTGCTAGCCACCATCCATCTTTGCTTATAATACTTGTAAATTAAGGCAATATCGAGGCATACGCACAGTATGCACTGATCAATTTCAGTCCTAAAACATCAATGGGAAGATTCAAGTAAAACAATATCATGTGAATTAAACCTAAATATGTTCTAATTATATCAATATTCCCACTTATTGATTTCCAGTTCAGAGTAATTTGACTTGTGATAAGTCCTATTCTCTGCATTGTTGACTGAATGAATAACTAATCTGCATTAACTTTTGTCAGTGTGTGATGATCTCATTTGTCAGTTCACTGAGCCTTCACGATTAATAGACTTTGCAGGGGATTTTTGCAATTTATCTTCACTCCATATTAAATGTTCGACTAAAAGTGTATATTGGTAATTTAAACGAACCCACACGTATGCTAAATATTTTCTAATTATAAATGAATTTTCTCACGATTCAATGTTTTTGAGATACTTCTCTTAGTCTATACTCATACATAGGTTCCGATTTTGTATGTTTTTACTATGATCAGTTTTCGTAATTAACCTATTGACTATGATAAACTTTCCTCCTACTAAAAACTGTTTCGGATACTTAATTGTCTGTGGTAATTAAAAAATTTCGCTACACGTTCTGGATAATTTTTCTCTACGATGTATTCCCATTTTGTTTAGTAGTGCTGCTTTTCAAGTGTTCACATATTAGTTCTGTTTATCTCTTTAACTGAAAGTGAGAGCTTGTTACCCAATATGTCTGATAATATTTCGTTTAAAAAAAAACAAGCAAATAGTTTCTTTTCGAATTATTAATCACTGTCGGATAAGATTTTTACTGCGACATACATATCCCTCAGTTAGTATCGCGGTCATTTTGTGCCTTATATCTGAGTAAGATGGAAAAATATCTAAAAACTATACCTTAGATAATACTATAAGAAAGAAAATACTATTTAGTAATATACAACTCTAGGTAAATTTTAAACAACCTGAAATTGTAATTAAAAAGTTTGAGTGATTAGTATTGGTCTATCCAGCAACAACCGAATAAATTTTGTCCAATGGAAGATTATTTAGACCATACAGCAGTAGTAATACGAATCCAAGTTCTGATTAGGTTACTTAAATGATCTCGCAATGATCTGTATTAAGTTTATTGAGGTTACAAGAATTGGGAAGCCATTGAATGACTGTTTCTTCCCGGCGTGGGGCTCCCCAGTAGAATGCAATTTCTGATGGCGGGGTCACAGATTTCCACTGCTGATGAGTTCCATACTCGGACGAAGCAGCTGCACAACAGTTCTAGTTTCTTAATGTTTGTTTAAATGAGGCATTTTTGACCTTGATAGAATGCAATAGTCTCCACGATTTCCATACCGATAAACAGATTAATCTTTGTTTCAATTAAAATACTGTGATCAATTTGGTTTGATGCTGATTTACATAACTAGAAAATTCATTTATATACATTTAAATGTATACATATTGTTAGTGTTTTTGATTTTCACAATAAAGTGAAGCACGTGATCATTTAGAAGAATGTTTAAAGAAGGAAACTGAAACTCATAGAGAACAGCTAGCAAATGAACAACAAGAGCGTATTAATTTTGAATCGTCAATTCTACAAGAATTGGAAGATGCACGTAGACGTCTAGCTGATCTTGCCAATATTACAACTGAACGTGATAATGAAACTGTTCTAAGACAGAAATGTGAAGATGAATTAAAAATGTCCAAATCTAAGTTGAATGAAATACAGGTGCGTGTTTATGTATGCATATAGATTATTACTTTTTTTCTATCATTGTCATAACAGTTAATCAGTTAGTCATAGTCCATGTAGAACCTAGCATAAATATACATTGGTCCAAGTTGTCATGCCATATTGGGAAGTTTAGCTAAAACAAAATAATCTAATAAAAATAATGATGAGAAAGTCTATATATATATAAGGATATATAGACCATAACAGGCAACACTTCAACATTATTCACTATTGCGTGAGGTGACCGTGCACTTGAAGGTAAAACATCTATGGATTCATTGTTTCTTTAGCCTCGACAGATTTGCCTGAAGCCCGTGAATTCAAATTGGTATATGAGTATCCGCTAACACAGATAATACAATATCTCAACATGTTTCTACACTACTTTCATATCTGCATTATGTGCTGTAGATAGCCTGATTTAAGCGTAAATTTACTTGAACAACTCTCAAATGATTCCACGTTAGGATATAACAAGTTTTTTCCCTTTACAATGCCTGGAGATTCCAGAGGTTGCTGTTAGAACGCCTTTTCAGTGATAGCGATGTCAACGAGCGATTGATTCAGACAAAATCTATATTCATGAATAGAATAATGTGATTTATTCAAAAAATAACCTCATCCTACTAACGGAACAACTTTTTTTCAATGACATTAAGACTGCGGTACAATCTTGGATACTTTAAAAAAAATTTGCCTGATGTCCTTGTCTAGTTGAACCATTTACTCACCCACATTAGCCTGCCTATACATACATCTTCTACCTACTATATTGTCTGCAGACAACACGTGATCTTTCTGACTTTTCAACAGCATATGATCTCTCTATAATTAAATTCTATTTTTACATCTTATTCTGTTCTTTTTAAAAAAAGGCTAAATATGAACTGACTGAAACTAATTTAACTGAAGCTCAGAAAAGAATTATTGATCTACAAGATCAAGTTATTCGATTGCAAAATGATTTAGACAATGTGGAATCGGTTCAAGCTGATTTTGTTCGTTTGTCACAAAATTTACAAGTGAGTCCTATTCGTTTAATTTGGTTTCACTTACATGTAAAGTGTTCCGTTTTGTATGATTATATCTAGGGTTACTGACCAATAATTTGACGTTTTAAAACAACTTTTATGATTGTAAACCATCATCTCTACTCATAATGCTTGTGACTTGAAGTAATGTCGAGGCAATCCACACAGGATGCACATATGCCAATAAGAGACTGATCAATTGCAGTCCTAAACATCAATGGGAAGATTCAAGTAAACAATACAAAAACTATTATAATTGTTATTATCAGTAGAATCATACTCGTCACTTGTTGTTTTCTTCATGAACCCATTCATAGATTACCTTAATCAGGTTGCATGAATCGTTAACTGTATCTTTTTAATGACTTAAAATAGTTTTTTATTATAAAAATAGCATTAATTGTTTTTATTGTAACGCACGGTATGCTACACGCTAACCCCGACTGACTACTTGAGCGACAAAGTGTATTGGACTACCGAATGAATTGCATAAATGCTCATTCATATATACGACTCTATCCTTAGAAAATTAACACATTGACCCCAATGAAATGCACTTGACCTTTAGGTAACTTCTGATTGCCATCGATTGACCTTTTACTACTTCTAATTGGCTCTCCATATCAGTTTTAAAAACAGTCGCCAAAATAATAATCCAGAGCTTTGACATTTTGTTCCTTCATAATCTGGACACCTTTATCTTGTATGGAAAGCTTTAAGTTCCATCGGAATTGTATTGTTATTCGATTTTCGATTCATAATCCTATAACCGTGCATATTCAAACTTTACTGTATTCATAATACACCACGAATACCATTCAATTTGGTCATTTAAAAAACAACACACTTATCACTTGCTTTAAGATAGACTTCTCGAAGTCATCAAAATCTTAATAGAGAAAACACGTCACCTTTCAGATTAGTCAAATAATTTTTACATTTCAGCTTAATAACTTATCTGATAATAAAGTGTTCCTCATATTACTTGTAAGTTTTCAGCGTTTAAATAATGGTTTGTACCGATGGATTGACAACATGCAAGGGTACGATGTGATGGAATAGTGGCTTCTCATCAGACTGAGTTATTGACAATCTACCTAGTAGAATGAGTTGTTAGTCTAACGACGTATCGTGCTCACGAAACACTGAACAAATGAACGAATATACTTAAAAGTCATTTATTTATTTATCTAAACACATAAACATTGGTACAAGGAGGCGCCAAATATATATGCGCCACATAAATCATCCGATTTGTGTGAGGGCTGGGATACTGCCCGGGTGCCCAGACCGAAGCAGGTGGTTTTCTTAGGGGGCCACACCCCGAGCCTTGGACCTAAAGGTCTGAACCACAAGGCAATGGAGCATCGTGAGGAGATGCAGTCCCATGGTAGCCGGTGACCAACATTTGGTTCATACGTCATTTGTTCCATTAGGATACTGGAGCCCATGTGCACCATTGGTTTGGAATCCGGTTAAAGCGCCGGACATTCGCTTTTCGTCCTCTCATTTTCGTAAACAACACCCCCGCCACGAGAAGGCAGTGAGTAGGACTTCCATGGCAGAGACTGTATACGCGTGACCGTGTGAGAGCATTTCGAGAGGGAGGAAGGGCGGGGCCACACCACTCTTGGCCATACCAGGGCATTTGGGGGTAAGAGTCACTTAACCAATAAACGATTTGAAGATAAAGTCACTGCAACTCACTAATTCTCCATTAGAATTAATATGTAGCTTCTAGTCTTAATCCTTGCTTCTTCACATTGATCGTCTCCAAATTCATCAATTAATTGAGTTATTGTTGATGTTTCATTGACGCTCTCGAATAATAATAATTTTGATTATAGTAATCAGTCAGTTTGTCCTTTATGCAAAACATTCTGAAATCTTTTAAAGTGTCCCCGTAAATATATCTTCAGGTTTATTACTGAATTATTTTGAAAAAGTTGTATTACTAACTTAATAAGAAGGAGGTGGTGGCAGCGTTTCCTCTGGACAACATGACTTTACTTGTCTCTCAATTAGACCAACCAGTTAACACGACACAACACCACTAAACACATTGATTTCTGATTGTTACATTCAATCATTGTGAACGGAACACACTATTGGTTCTTCAAGTTACATTTCAATTATGTAGTTTTCGTTCTTTTTTATGTTGTGCTTATAAATTTATTTCAGGTTCAACTGGAAAGATTGAGACAACAAGATCAAGAAGTAAGATGGATTAGTCCAGATGACGTGACCAACTGTTTTTCGTGTAATTCATCATTTCAAATTGGACTTTCTAATAGTAACAATTCGAAAAAAATCAATTGTCGTCATTGTGGTAAAGTTCATTGTTCCAATTGTACAAAGAATACTATGCCAGCTGGACCATTTGGTCATCCGGCTGTTGTATGTGATGTATGCCATACATTGTTGAATAAAAATATTGCTCCGTATTTCAGCACAACATCATTAAATAATAATAATAACAATGGTAATAATAATCAAAGGGATCACTTTCCATCTTCTAAACGTTTTAGTCTGTCATCGCCTACACAATCCTCAACTAATCTATCAACTAAACCTTCTTAATAACACTTATTCATTATTTATCCTTTCATAATATCAAATTACTACTGTTTTGTTTCTGCTCTTTCGTTTAAATTTCTCTTCTAATCTAACTGATCTATAATAAATTGTTTGAGCTGTCATAAATTAATTGCATAATCTTTACCCTTTTTTACTTCACTTCCTTCACAGTGTATACACAAATTAATTATTATATATTATTTTGCCTTTTTATGTATTTATTACTGTTTTAATGTTTACTTTATACTTCTTTGAATTGTTTCTTCATGTAGACTTGTACATGTGTATGTGAATCCCATACGCTAATGAGTTTGTGTTCATGTGATGACAGAAATCATCACATACCCGCACTTGTTTTTTTTGTTTGTATGAACTCAATCAAGTTTGTATATTTATGTTACTTTTGTTTTATTAATTTAAATATTGACTGTACCGTCTTATTATTATTATTATTATTATTATTATTATTATTATTATTATTATTATTATTATTACTTTTGTTATTATTATTATTATACATACATGTCTTTCAAACTTAATGTTTGTGTCCGTTTATTTGGTTTTCTTCATCAGCAAGATGTGCTACTTTGTTTTCATTTCAGTAGTATAAAATATGTATTCGTTTTGTTTTGAAAAAGCACACATTAGTTTGCCTATACGAGTATTAGCATGAAATTTATCAATTGTTCTTTTCATATTTAACATAATAAGAAACTATTCCATTCTAACTTATTTATCTATTTTTTCGATATGTTGATTATGTTATACATGATCACGTATCAATCATTTTTGACGGTTTATATGATAGTGTGAACAAAACAACAATGATAAACAGTTATTTAGATTTGTATGAATTTAATTCATTTCTTACTTTTTGAATTGCTAGCTGAGGAAAAAAACAGACTTGACAAAGAGATTTAAATAGGCAATAGTGAAACGTGTCCGTCGAGTGTATAGGTGTGGTTAATAAAATGTAAGTTGAAAAGTCAACTGTTTCTGTTTTCTTCCTCACACGCTCCCTGATCCTAACAATATAGGTATTTGTTATGATTGTGGAAAAAGCTTCTGATTGTTTCAACGCGAAAAATCTGACATGTTATCGAGATTGCAAATCAATGTAAGACAAAGAGCCATTGAATGAACGGACAGCTGTTTAGCCCCAGTGTGAAATTACTTACCAACGAACATCTACGACCCCTTACCAGAGGTTAAACTTGACACCTTGAATCTCTCGCTAGGTCGATTAACCTCTAGATCACTAAGCCGGGATCTCTTGGTATACAAGGCTAACTTCAATCCAATCTTGCTGTCGTGCGACTATATTCCATTGTATGCGGTCGGTACCTTTCTCACATCTGACATGAGTAGACTCCAGTGGCCACGGCTTCTGATTGAAACTCCAGGAATTCTCTCTCGGATCTAATCAACACATGATGTAGCTCGGTGTTTGGAAGAACAGTAACACTAGACGAAACCTTATTCATGATCCAATCACTGATTTACATTTATATCATTGCAGTTAGTAAAGATGGGCGTCTTTTTTATTCAGGAATATCATATCATATGATATTCACCATCATTTTTGTATCTGTAGTTGAATTTCTTAATCTTGGCACTGATGAACTGCAAATTATAGTAGATAATGACTTGTATTACAGCGCACCTCATTAGCCGTATTTGATGTGATTAATTCCATTTACCTTATCATTGTCAATGGTTGTTATAGTAGGTCTTCGTTTTATTTGATTTCGCTCAAATTGATTTGTGCTTATACAAAATGGCAATGTTTCTATATCGTTCAGATCATAACGTTTATAGATTTTCACAAACATACAGATGTGATCATTTAAATCGTTCTCATTGACGAACTCTTTCTGTCTAAAAAATTTTTGTTTTAAAATTTTCGGCAGTTTTCTCTGAATAGTCATGAACTATCTTATGTCTTACTGTTTAAACTCAAAATAAACATCTGTATTTTTTTTACAGAAAGACTGCTTAGTAATTAATTATTTTGTGACAATATGATCAGAAAAATGAATGTTTCCCAATGTTTAAATAAACAACTAGTCGGTTGATTTAATTTCTTAGAAAAATTACATAAAATGCTAAAGATTGAAATATAGATTCGATAAGAAACTATAGAACTTAGGTGCATATCTTTCTCAGTATAAAGGTTTATTATCCGTGATGCCGTTTGTGTCAATTACTTAACTACTGTTATTCTTGTCCAACCTTATCAGTCATACCTACTTTGTGAGAGGGTTTTTGTTCCCGAGGATTCTTTATTTTTCAAAGTCTATTCATTGTCGAGATTCAAGAATCGGTTGTGTGTGAACATTTTATTAATTCAATAATCATTACCATTAGTATTGATTGTGATAATTCTATCAATGATATGTAAAACTTATATTTACTGAAACTATATAATTTCTCTGTCTAATAATATCTTGCATAGTTACTTGATATTGACCACACTATATTATATTTTATTTTAATTCATAACATTATGTTATCAGCTGAAAATAATTAAACATTAACTTTTATGCAATTTGATTGAAAATAACGAAACCCAATGAATTTATTGCATTCTACTATTTTTATATCCTATGGTCCGTCAAATACCACGCCAGTCAGAATACCGACTCTTATGAACTTGCTTCGTGTCAAACAGCATTAGCAGCCTTCAGTCAACTCTTAATCCTTATTGTTCCTTTGTATAATAAACTGCTCGCCTCGACCAGCTAGTTTAGCCCAGAACACAAATATCAGCCTTTTCTGTGTGAATCGTAAATATTAGACATACTTATTTTATATGCAAACAGACCAAACCGCATCATATCATAAAATGAAAAATAATAATTATAAAAGATCAAGACAAAAGTGGCTGTGAGTGTGGGATACTGTAACTGATAAGTTGAGAATAACTAAATAATGGTAAATCGTATTGACTCATGATCTCACCCGACCGTTGTTGCTACCTTGACGTGGTGGTCGGGCTTGCCTATCGTGATGAAGCAACCGAGCTATACTGACTGGAACAACTGTTCCTCAAGGTTCTACCACGTCAGAAAGGTCGGTTGAAGAGCGGTAAGACTAAAAGCAACAAACCCAAGGTCCGAAGGCGAAGTCGTACTGCTGACTGTACAGAGGTGTGACAGCAGTAAGGTGTTTCCTTCAGATAACCAGCATGACAGCGATGTTGCCTTCCCACAAGGAAGGGTGGAGTTAGAAAAGGTCGACCCTAAAAATGCACACCTCACCTTATCCCACGGATATCCGTCTCCGGCGGTAAGGTCTCAATAAGTACGGAGCTAACACAAAAATTGCCCATAAAAAGGTCGTGTGTGACCGACCTCAAGCAGTTGTCCCTTGGGCACTGCGGTCACGCTCCCTGGTCACTAAGACCACTTCTAATCCGATTTCCTTTTCAGGTACCTCCAGAAGAACCCTTCCACGGTGTGGGCAACCGGGAAGTGATAACCGCCCTCATACCTCCAACAGCACTCAGGACCACTCATGATCTCAACTACTGAAATCGTATTGCATTAACCAAAGCTTATGGCAAAAGGGATATGAACATACATATAACCTAGTTACTTAATAGGTATCAAGTAGGAATATATGTGATAATAGTTCTTAGGAGTTGCCGTTCATTTATTCTTCGTTCGGATAATAGCAACTATCAGTGTCATCTTTGCTTTGTTTGAATCCTCCGTATCATTTTTTATAAAATAAAATATAACATTTGTAGATTCAACACCATGTTACTTAATCTAGTTAAGCGTATACTTCAACTTCTCTATCCATGTTAGAGAGCTGACAATAAATAGTTTACTTTTTTCAATGTACTATCAAAATTGTTTAAATCAATAGAATTGTCCATATCTATTTTTATCGATCAACATGATAGCATCGGTCATGTCTACAAATTTATTGTTTTATAATAGGTTAATTAACAGTTATGCTTTGGAAGAATCAGTTAGTAGTGTGAGGTATTCTTCATATAAACATTTAAAAATTTTATTGTATATAACTTAATTAAGAGTATTTTTTTAAAATTATTATTACATTGAATAAACTGTTCTATATTTACTTCCTTATTAATGTACTTTACAAATTAATAGTATGATTACAAAGTACATACTCTGTAGCATTGTTTAGTGTACAAGTTGATGTAATTACCACAGTCTTATTGTATTCATGTGATGCATACGTGTGTACTATCAATTTTCACCGGTTATTTTAAGTAAAAACGAATTCATTGCATGCATTACTTTGAATTTGCATTGTAACTTGAGTCTGAAGAAACTGTTCAAAGTGTTAAGTTTATATAGTTGAATTCATGAGTCGACCTAAGTTATATCACCATCGGAAACCTGGAAACATTAGATAACCGTTTCATCCTAGTACTGGACTCTTCAACACTGTATATCCGCAATCCCGAGCGCAAACCCTTAACCTCTAGAACACTGAGTCGGCATCCATTGGTGTTAATGCCTAACTTCAATCGATCCATGATCTTGCGCAACCCTTCATTCATTGTTTAAAGTGGATAACTGTCTCCACCCAACACGGATTGGAGTCCACTGGTCACGGCTTCAACCGTGAAAATATTACAAACTTCACAAATCCCCATTCCGTTAAATTTATTTTCAGTAATGAATCAGTTGATTAAAAGTACAGCCCACAGGGGGATTTAGAAATTTCGCAAACTGAAATTGAATAAAAGTCCTGATGAAAACAACTATGAGGAAATTTTTTCAACTATCACTAATCTTTCATAAAAGTATAGTTGACTAAATAAAGCGTTTAAGTGACCGAGGTGACTGACAATTGAATATTGATCGTATCAACTCCGTCTTTTCAGTACACTCTAGAAGTAAATCAGAACTACCGAACCACGGACCGATTATATTGTTAACAAGTTTTCAAGAGTTTTACTTACCTCTGTTGGCTCTCGTGGATGATCATAGGCCGCCCACTAGCGCTGTTTATTCAACTCT